TCTCTCTCTTCTCTCTACCATCTCTCCTCTTCCTCTTCCTCTCTCCTCTCTCCTCTTCCTCTCTCCTTCTCCTCTCTCTCTCTCTCTTTCTCTCTCTCTTCTCTCCATCCCTCACCTCCCTCCCTCCCACCTCCCTCCCTCCCTCCTTCCCTCGCTCTCGCTCGCTCGCTCTCTCTCTCTCTCTCTCTTCTCTCTCTCTCTCTCTCTCTCTCCTCTCTCTCTCTCTCTCTCTCTCTCTCCTCTCTCTCTCTCTTCTCTCTCTCTCTCTCTCTCTCTCTCTCTCTTCTCTCTCTCTCTCTCTCTCTCTTCTCTCTCTCTCTCTTCTCTCTCCCTCTCTCTCTCTCTTTGCTCTCCTTTCTCTCTCACTCACTCGCTGTCTCGCACGCTCCCTGCAGGTGAGTCAGAAGCACGACGTGATCTTCCTCATCACCAAGTACGGCTACATTCACCTGTATGACCTTGAGACGGCCACCTGCATCTACATGAACCGCATCAGCGGCGACACCATCTTCGTGACGGCACCGCACGAGAACAGCAGTGGCATCATCGGCGTCAACCGCAAGGGCCAGGTACGAGGAGGGGGGTCAGAGGTCGCGTGAGAGGTCAGAGGTCAAACGAGATCAGAGGTGAGGAAGGCTCCTAAGCTTTTGTGGGCGCTGTGAAGGTGATGTTTGCGGGTGATGGGCGAGGCAATACACGTGAGAGTAAACACGTCACAGAGGTGCGCATCACTGTGAGCTGTCCGTCTGTCGGCCGACGCGTCGTTAGCTCGTGATGGCCGACGCATCGTTAGCTCGTGATGGCCGACGCATCGTTAGCTCGTGATGGCCGACGCGTCGTTAGCTCGTGATGGCCGACGCGTCGTTAGCTCGTGATGGCCGGCGCATCGTTAGCTCGTGATGGCCGTCGTTGAGTTAATGACGAGAGACAATCGGAGGCAGTTATGGTGAGATACTGCCGGCCGTTATTCCAGAGCGGAGGATCGGGGCGACGGCTAATGAGCGCATTCAGACTTTACACACTATCTTAATGCGATGTTGATTGGGGTCTTTGAAGCGCATGGCGCGTTGCGTCAAACGCTCGCGCGGGTGGCAGTGGATATGTGTTATGTAGGAACGATCCAGGTCTCCCGTTCACACAAGTCCCGTAGTAGACTAGACCCTAAGAGGTCATGTTGGGGGGTCAGTGTGAGGTCATGTCCATTCGATCCCCTGCGGCTGTTAGTGTCAGTAACCGTAGGGTTTTGCACGTGGACTAGACAAGCGTGAGCATTGCTGGGGGCACGCATCGCTGGGGTCTCGCGTCCCGGCACCTGCCGCGCCCCGCACGCGCACCCGCGATACACCGCGGCTGCACATGGGCAACGCTCGACACACGGTGTTGTCGGTTATAACCCAGCTATTATGTTTGTGTGTGCGTGCCGTTGCGTGCGTGCGTGGTGCGGGTACCTGCGTGCAGGCGTGCTAGTGCGTGGTCGCTGCGTGTGTGAACGTATGTGCGTGTGTTGTCATGATAACCAGGGTATCCTACGTCTGTGTTTGTGAGTAACCAGCTACATCTGTGTGTGTGTGTGTCGATGTGCAGGTGTTGTCGGTGAGTGTGGAGGAGGACAACATTGTACCCTACATCACCAACGTGCTGCAGAACCCGGACCTCGCTCTGCGCATCGCCATGCGTAACAACCTCACCGGCGCTGAGGAGCTGTTTGTGCGCAAGTTCAACGCCCTCTTCAGCCAGGGAAACTACTCTGAAGCTGCCAAGGTCGCTGCCAGCGCCCCCAAGGTAAGCCCTGCTCCCCCAAGGTAAGCCCTGCTCCCCCAAGGTAAGCCCTGCACCCCCAAGGTAAGCCCTGCGCCCCCAAGGTAAAGCCCTGCTCCCCAAGGTAAGGCCCTGCGCCCCCAAGGTAAGCCTGCTCCCCGAGTAAGCCAGCCGCCCCCAAGGTAAGCCCTGCGCCCCCAAGGTCGCTGCTAGCGCCCCCAAGGTCGCTGCTAGCGCCCCCAAGGTCACTGCCCTGTGCCACGTATATGTCTAGATGTCATGGACATATAGACAGATATGTCCCTCTGCAGAGAGAGGTGCCATGTACAGAGACAGTATGTACATAGATACTGTCAAGATACTGTGTATAGAGACAGCATGTACAGACATGCTATTTATAGCGGCAGTATTTATAGGATTATAGTAATGTAAGTATCTATATTTTACAGTGTTGCAGTCCGCTGTTTTATAATCAGTCTTTGTAATTCGCACGTGAACATATTTGCATGTAACGTGCACAATATAAATCAATAAATATTATAATATTTATTTAATATTGTATGTAGGTATGAGGTACCATGTACAGAGGAATTCTGAGGCATTAAACCACTGGTCGCTAGCGCCTCTAGGTAGTCGTGCTGGTGTGTTGTTAGTGGAACGGCGCGTCAGGGGAGCCACCGTCCGCTCTAATGCTCTGGTCGCTAGCGCCTCTTAGGTAGTCGTGCTGTGTGTTTTGTAGTGGAAACGTGCGCATGTCAGGGGAGCCACGCCGCTCAATGCTCTGGACGGAATTTCTGCGTAGCCTCCAGAGTTTCGGCTAGCCGGACGACACGTGATCGGACACGGTGGGATCGCGACGCTCCGGCCGCTGCTGCTGCTGCTGCTGCTGCTGCTGCAGGCTTCGTTTCTCTCACCGCGTCCTACAGTCTCAGCTTCCGTCACTTATCCTCACCATCTAATGACATCGATTACGTCGTTATAGCGCGCGCGGCATGACATCGCGCGGCGGTGGCTAAGCCTATTGGAGCATTAGATGCCCACACTATAGCTAGTGGCTGTTTCACTGCCTGGAGCCATTAGATAGCTCCACACTATAGCTAGTGGCTGTTTCACTGCGGGGGCGCATGGTTAGATGCCCACCTATAGCTAGTGGCTGTTTCACTGGTTGGCGCATTAAAGCCCCACACTATAGTAGTGGCTGTTTCACTGCTGGAGCATTAGATGCCCACACTATAGCTAGTGGCCTGTTTCACTGTTGCGAGCCCATTTAGATAGCCCCACATAGCTTAGTGAGCTGTTTCACTGCTGGAGCATTAGATGCCCACACTATAGCTAGTGCTGTTTCACTGCTGGAGCATTAGATGCCCACACTATAGCTAGTGGCTGTTTCACTGCTGTGAGCATTAGATGCCACACTTATTTAGCTTTATGGCTGCTTTCACTGTTGGCAGCATTAGATGCCCACACTATAGCTAGTGGCTGTTTCACTGCTGGAGCATTAGATGCCCACACTATAGCTAGTGGCTGTTTCACTGCTGGAGCATTAGATGCCCACACTATAGCTAGTGGCTGTTTCACTGATGCGGAGCATGGAAGATGCCCACACTATAGCTAGTGAGCTTGTTTCACTGCTGGGAGCATGAGATGCCCCCACACTATAGCTAGCTGGCCTGTTTCACTGCTGCGAGCATTTAGATGCCCACACTATAGCTAGTGGCTGTTTCACTGCGGGGGCAGCGGCAGGAGATTAAGACCGGCGCGACGGTAAACAGTTTTACAGCCTGCTTGCCCTCAGTTTACAGCATGATGATAGCCCGTGTGTAATCGAGGTATGGTGTGTCTCTCTCTCTCTCTCTCTTTCATGCTGCCTGCTCTCTTCCTCCAGTTCCCTCTCTCTCTGTCTCTGTCTCCTGTCTCTGTCTCTGTCTCTGTTCTGTCTCTCTCTCTCTCTACCTCTCTTCTCTCTCTCTCTCTCTCTCTCTCTCTCTCTCTTCTCTTTCTCTCTCTCTTTCCTTCTCTGTCTCCTCGTCCCTCTCTCTTTCCTCCCACCCAGCTCTCTCCCATCTCCCTCTCTCTCTTTTACCTCTTCCTCTTTCTCCCTCGTGTAGATTTCTGTTAGCACCATTGATACCGCGTAATTCAATCTTGGTCGCCCCCCCCCTTGCTTTTTCCGCGTTTTATACATCCTCTCTCTTTCTCTCTCTCTCTCTCTCTGATCATCGCAGGCCATCCTGAGGGAACTCGCAAAAACGATCCAGAAGTTCCAGCAGGTGCCTGCGCAGCGCCGCGCCAGACGTCGCCACAGCTGCAGTACTTTGGCATCCTGCCTGCGACCGAGGGCCAGACTAACCAAGTATGAGTCGCTGGAGCTGTGCAGGCCCGTACTTAGCGCAGGGGTTCGCAAGCAGCTGCTCTGAGAAAGTGGCTGAAGGTAAGACAGGTTTACGTCGTGGATGAGCAGGAGAGGGCGAGAGTGGTAGGAAGGGAGGAGGGACAAGAGGAGTGTAGGCGGGCGTGGTTAGAAGGGAGGAGGGAGGGTGGTCTGCTGCATAGACGTGCACGCGAGAAGTGGCTCATGGAAAGAAGTGATAGAGAGAGGTGATGTATGGACGGTCGAAGAGGCAGGGGTTGTTGTAGGATGTGTGCTATGTACTTGGTGAGGGGGTTGTGTGTGGATGTGTGCTATGGTGTTGTGAGGGGGTTGTGTGTGGATGTGTGCTATGGTACTGTGAGGGGGTTGTGTGTGGATGTGTTGCTTTATCGTACTGTAAGCGCGGTTGTGTGTGATGTGTGCTTATCGGTTACTGTGAGGGGGTTTGGTGTGTGGTGGTGTGCTATGTACTGTGAGGGGGTTGGCGCTGTGTGGATGTGTGCTATGGTACTGTGAGGGAGTTGTGTGTGGATTTGTGTGCTTATGGTACTTGTGAAGGGGGGTACGAAAGTTGACGATGTGGTGGATGTGTGCTATGGTGTTGTGAGGGGTTTGTGTTGTGATTGTGTTGGCTATGGTACTGTGAGGGGCGTGGTGTGTGGATGTGTTCTATGGGTACTGTGAGGGGTGTGTGTGGATGTGTGTATGGTACCTGTGAGGGGGTTGTGTGTGGATGTGTGCCTGTGGTTTACTGTGAGGGGCATTGTGTGTGGATTGTTGCTATGTGTTGTCGAGGAGGTTGTGTATGGCGTCGTGTGCTATCAGGTTACTGTGAGGGGGTTTGTGTAGTGGATGTTGCTATGGTACTGTGGAGGGGGTGTTTTGGGTGTGTGGATGTGTACTATGGCTACTGTGAGGGGGTTGTGTGGGATGTGTGCCTATGGTACTGTGAGGAGTTGTGTGTGGATGTTGATGCTATGGTGCTTGTGAGGAGGTTGTTTGATGTGTGCTATGGTACTGTGAGGGGGTTGTGTGTGGATGTGTGCTATGGTACTGTGAGGGGGTTGTGTGTGGATGTGTGCTATGGTACTGTGAGGGGTTGTGCTGTGGAATGTGTGCTATGGTGTATTGAGGGAGTTGATGTGTGGATGTGTGCTGCTATGGGTACTAAGTGATGGGGGTTGTGGCAATGTGGATGTGCTTGCTATGGTTGTTGTGGGAGGGGGTTGAGTGTGTGGATGTGTGCTATGGTGTTTGTGAGGGGTGTGTGTGGATGTGTGCTAATGGTGTTGTGAGGGAGTTTGTGTGTGGACTGTGTGCTGCTATCGGTACTGTCGAGGGGGTTCGTGTGTGGATTGCTGTGCTATGTGGTATCTGCTGAGGGGTTGTGTGTTGGATGTGTGCTATACGTACTGTGAGGGGGTTGTGTTGTGGATGTTGTGCCTTTATGCGTGTTGTGGGAGGGGGTGGTGTGTGGATGTGTGCTATGCGTACTGTGATGGGGGTTGCATGTGCTGGATGTGTGCCTATCGGTTACTGCGCTGAGGGCGTTGTGTTGTGATGTGTGCAGTATGGGTTCGTCGAGGGGTTCGTGTGTGTAGATGTGTGCTTTGGACTTTGAGGGAGTTTGTGTCGTGGATGTTGGTGCGTAATGCGTTCGTTGGTGAGGTGTTGTGTGTGGGATAGGTGCATATGGTACTGGTGATGGGGGTTGTGTGTGTGATGTGCGGCTATGGTGTTGTAGGGGTTGCTGTGTGCGATGTGTGCCTATGGGTACTGTGAGGGGGCTTGTGGTGTGGATGTGTAGCTATGGTGTTTGTGAGGGGTTGATGTGATGGATGATGTGCTATTGGGACGTTGAGGGGTTGTGTGTGGATGGTGTACTATGCGTACTTGGAGGGGGTTGTGTGTGGATGTGTGCTATGGTATCTTGTGAGGGCGGTTGTGAGCGTGTGGATGTGTTGACTATTGGTGCTTGTGGAGGGGGTTTGTGTGTGGATGTGTGCTATGGTACTGTGTAGCGGGATTGTGTTGTGGATGTCGTGCTATGGTACTGTGAGCGGGGTTATGTTGTGATGACTGTGCTATGTGTTGTGAGCGGGTGCCGAGGTTCGTGTGTGGATGTGTTGCTATGGTACTGTGAGGGGGTTGTGTGTGGATGTGTGCTATGTGTACTGTGACGGGGGTTGTGTCGTGGATGTAGTCGCTATGTGTTGCTGAGGGGGTTGTGCCTGTGATGTGTTGCTTTTGTACTGTGAGGGTCGTTATGTGTGGTGTGTGCGTATGTTACTGGTGAGGGGTTGTGTGTGGATGTGCTGCTATTGGTACTGTGAGGGGTGGTGTGTGGATGTGTGCTATGGCTACTGTGCAGGCAGTTGTGTGTGATGTCTGCGTTATGCCGTTACTGCTGAGGGAGTTGTGTGTGGATGTTGTCTATGGTACTGTGAGGGGGTTGGTGTGTGGATGGGCTATGGTGTTGTGAGTGGGAGGTTGTGTGTTGGATGTGTGCTATGCCGTAGCTGTGAGGGTTGTGTGTGGATGCTGTGCTATCGGTACTGTGAGGGGGTTGTGGTGATGGATGTGTGCTGATGGTGTTGTCGAGGGGGGTTGTGTGTGGATGGTGTGCTATTGCGTTACTTGGTGAGGGGCTTAGTGTGTGGAATGTGTGCCTATGGTACTGTGAGGGGGTTGTGTGGGATGTGTGCATATGGCTACTGTGAGGGCCGTTGTGTAGTGTGATGTGTGACTAATGGTACTGGTGAGCGGGGCTTGTGTGTCGGAATGTGTGCTATGGCTACTGTGAGGGGGTTGTGTGTAATGTGTGCTATGGGTGGTGTTGTGAGGGGGTTGTGTGTGGATGTGTGCTATGGTGTTCGTGAGTTGCGTTGTGGTGTGAGTTGCGTGAGTGGCAGCTGGAGGTGATATCCGTAGAGTGGATGCATGCTGTAAGTAGCTTTTGCTGCTGTTGACTCAGTCCTGTAACATTCCTCTTTAAGTAAATCTAAATGTAGCTTGTCTTCGGCGCTGAGTGCTTATGCGGCATGAATATTCTTGAGCGACCAGGCCGTGGTGCGGCTTTGCGTCTGCGTAATCCTGCGCCGGAACATAGTATGAACGTTGTTGAAAAACTGGCATTCCTTTCATCATCGCAGCACACGGGAGAGCAGACACAGGAGAGCCTCAACACTCTACTCATTGTCGCCATGTCTTGCCACGGTTAACAGCTAGCGCCGGTTTTCGTGAAATGCAGAAATGTCAGCGCCTTTAATCTTATTCATTCGCGTGAATCTCTGCCGTTATATTTTAAGAATCTACATGATGTATATATTAATCCGTTGAATGGTACGTGTTACCTTGGAGCATCCCATTAAGCCCATGCCCTTTAGTGATGACCTAGGCTTTTTTTATAATATCTGCCATCACTTTTAGTTATTCCATGGTAGTAATAATTATAGTAGTAGTAATTGGTAGTTATTTCCATTCCGGCAGCCATCCGTCCGCTTAATTTGCTCTGAGCGAATTTCTGCCGTAGCCTCCAGAGTTTCGTTGCGGGACGACAGTGATCTCGGACGCCAGGTGGCGAATCGCTGCATCGCTCGCCGCTGCTTGCTGCTGCTGGCGACGTACTCTCACCGCATCCTACAGTCACTAGTTACCCCTTATAGCTGGCAACGACATCATTCCACTATAGCATGCCTCTCTACAGATCGACTGCCCACAGCAACACGTTACGCGCTAGCGCCGATTATGAGTTCCTATACATCGAGCATCTCCATGTGTATGTACCTATGCTCTGTGTATGTGTATGTACCTATGCTCTGTGTATGTGTATGTATCTACCTATGCTCTGTGTATGTGTATGTACCTATGCACTGTGTATGTGTACCTACCTATGCACTGTGTATGTGTATGTACCTATGCTCTGTGTATGTGTATGTACCTATGCTCTGTGTATGTACCTACCTATACTCTGTGTATGTGTATGTACCTACCTATGCACTGTGTATGTGTACCTACCTATGCACTGTGTATGTGTATGTACCTATGCTCTGTGTATGTGTATGTACCTATGCTCTGTGTATGTACCTACCTATACTCTGTGTATGTGTATGTACCTACCTATGCACTGTGTATGTGTATGTACCTACCTATGCTCTGTGTATGTGTATGTACCTATGCTCTGTGTATGTGTATGTACCTATGCTCTGTGTATGTACCTACCTATGCACTGTGTATGTGTATGTACCTACCTATGCTCTGTGTATGTGTATGCACCTATGCTCTGTGTATGTACCTATGCTCTGTGTATGTGTATGTACCTATGCTCTGTGTATGTACCTACCTATACTCTGTGTATGTGTATGTACCTACCTATGCACTGTGTATGTGTATGTACCTACCTATGCTCTGTGTATGTGTATGTACCTATGCTCTGTGTATGTGTATGTACCTATGCTCTGTGTATGTACCTACCTATGCTCTGTGTATGTGTATGTACCTATGCTATGTGTACGTGTACCTACCTATGCTATGTGTATGTACCTATGTGAGGTGTGTCGTTAATTCTTGTTTAATTGAAGATTATATGGGGCACCACAGGAAGTTGAAGGGGCAGCGAGGCAATCGTTTTATTATTATTATTATTATTATTAGTAGTAGTAGTATTAGTATTATGATGATTATTTATATTGCAATAAGTTATATTGCATATTATTCAAATATAAGTACACTTCTAATATTATAATTAAAATAGTTTTGTTCCTTTTTTCTCAAACTCCTGAATCATGTTAATTATGAATGGCTAAACGAATGAATGTTATTAAATTCAGGAGAAAAACCACCTAAATTTCATTTCCCTGTACTGAAAAAAACGTGTTTTTATCGTGAGAAGGCTGCTACGAATATACGTGATGTAGATGCACTGATATGTGAACATCCATCACATCATGATCAAAGTTGGGTTGGCGGAATATGGGGGGAGGGGTGCTGGTGTGAGCATAGAGCACAAACTGCATGCAGTGCACCTTCGTACACTCAGGATACAGT